GTAAGTGTTGGGGGATGACGTCATTTCGCTTCTGATGATCCGATACGCCTAGTTCTCTCTCTCTCTCTCTCTCTCTCTCTCTCTCTCTCTTTCTCTCTCTCTCTCTCTCTCTCTCTCTCTCTTCTTCTTCTTCTTCTTCTTTTTCTTCTTCTTCTTCTTCTTCTTCTTCTTCTCTTTCTCTCGTCTCTTTCTCTCCTTCTCTCTCTCTCTCTCCTTCTCTCTCTCTCTCTCTCTCTCTCTCTCTCTCTCTCTCTCTCTCTCTCTCTCTCTCTCTCTCTCTCTCTTGTATTAGCGTATGTGCTTGTAAGTGCAAGCACGCGTGACCCAGAGTATCAACATCGCACTGCCCTGCCAAGAGCACTCCCCCACCCCTCTCTCTCCCACTTCCCCTTCCGCACCTCCCCCTCCCCCTCCATCCCCACCCTTCCTCTACCCAAACCAAAGCCCCTCCCCACCCCTACCCCCCTCCCTCCCTCCACCCTACCCCGCCCCCTCGACCCCTTGGCCCCCGTCGAGAGCGCCCCCTCCCCCACTTCGGCTGCCAAACCCCGTATCGAGGCTCACGAGGAACGAGCACAACAGACGCCAAATTCTCGCCAACCGAATGGACGCGGTCTTGATTTCCATTCGTCGGATATCAATGTGTGTGTGTGTGTGTGTGTGTGTGTGTGTGTGTGTGTGTGTGTGTGTGTGTGTGTGTGTGTGTGTGTGTGTGTGTGTGTGTGTGTGCATACATACATATATATATATATATATATATATATATATATATATATATATATATATATTTATATATATATATATATATATATATATATATATATATATATATATATATATATAAGATGCTGGTTATCTGATTACGAGTCTGAGAAAAAGGAGAGAAGAAGGAGAAGACAAACTGTCATCTGTTATTTAATTTTTTTATTATTATCATTATCATTACTACTATTACTACTATTATTATCATTATTATTTCATTATTATTATTATTATTATTATTATTATTATTATTATCATTATTATTATTTCTGGTACTCTCAAGACTGGTCTTATATCTTGGTGAATGAGCTGCAATAGCGGACCACAACCAGTGCTCTTAGGTATTGTAGCTTCTTTCTCTTTCAATTCATATCCAATACTTTTCGAATTATTCTTGCTCTTCCAAGTAAACAAGGTTTTTGTAACATTTCAAGAGTAATTTCCAAATCCAGCTTCTGTATCCATTTCTTGAACTGCTTTGTCACTGTCCCTAATGCCCCTATTACTACTGGAATAACTTCAACATCTTTCATTCTCCACATTTTTGCAATTTCATATTTCAGGTCGCAGTAATTGTTGCACTTTCCTTCTTTCTTTTCAATACGTGTCTCAAATGGGCATGCTGGGTCGATGAGAAGGCCTTTCTTGATCTTTTTCTCAAATACAGTGATATCAGGTTTGTGGTGCTTCACTGTCTTGTCGGTCTGTATAGGGAAATCCCATAAAATCTTTAAGTCTTTTGATTCCAGCACTTTCTCAGGCTTGTGTGTTTATCACTAATCAGACTTCCCAAATCCCCATTTTTCACAAAGTATCCAGTGGATTACTTTTGTGACATTGTCATGTCTCATGTGTTTATATTCTTTCTGTGCTACTTTTTGACATTCTGACACAGTATGCACCACTGTTTCATCTGCAGAACCATATACACTATAAGTTGAATCAACGTTCTCATATTCCTTGTATAAAGAGCCTGATCTTGTACTGCTATAATTGTACTTTCGGTCTTTTTCTTCAAATAGCCCTTTTTCAACCACACCCATGATTTACTGCCTTTTACTTTTTCTATATATATTTTTTTAACTGTCCATGCAGTGCTTTACTCTCCTATTCCTCTTGATGTTTCTTCTGTATATCATCTTTACTCCTCCCATACTTTTTGTTTTCATGGGTACTACTGAGGCTTACTTCTTTCAACATTTTTTCCTCTGATGCACCTAGGTACTTATCAAGACTGTTTAATTCTGCCTGCGCACAGTCTTCAGCTCCTATCAAGCCTCTCCCACCGTTACATCTCTTCAAATATAACCTATCAATATCTGCTTTGGGGTGGTGCGCACCATACATTGTCATCAGTTTTCTTGTTTTTCTGTCCAATTCTTCCAATTCATTCTTTGTCCACTTTATGATCCCCGCCCCATATCTGACGATTGAAACCGCTCTTGAATTGATGGCTGAAATTATGTTTCCCGCGTTTAGCTTTGATTTCAGTACTTTCTAACTCTTCTGATGTATTCTTTCGTTAATTGTTCTTTCATCTCATCATGTTTAATGTCATCCGCTTCCAAAAGATACTTGTATCCACTTTCCTCAATATTTCTCATCATTGTATCATCTGGCATGCACAGGCCATCACTTTCAACTATCTTTCCTCTTTTCATGATTAACACGCCACATTTTGATAATCCAAACTCTGAGAATATTCTTACTGTATTTACTAAACTGTCTATTTGACCCTCATTTTTCGCAAACAGTTTTAGATCATCCATGAACAGTAAGTGGTTGATTCTCTCGCCTTTCTTCTTGACTTCATAGAAAATGTTTGTCTTCCTCAGCATCAGTGTCAATGGGATCATTGTCATTACAAACAGGAGTGGGAATAGGCTATCCTCCTGAAAAATTCCTCGTTTTATTTTCACATTTCCAAGTCTATTTTGGCCCGCGTTCAGCTATGTGTTCCAATGTTTCATTGATTCGCTTATGAAGGACCTGACAGTCACTGCTACTCCAAACATATTCATACCCTTCTCTATCCAACTGTGGGGCACCATGTCATATGCTTTGCGGTAGTCAATCCATGCACCAGCCAGTGATGTTAAGCGTTTCTTACAATTTTTCACTATCATTTTATCAATGAGTAGTTGATCTTTTCTCCCTCGGCTTCCTTTTCTGCATCCCTTTTGTTCCCAAGTTAATATGTTTGATTGCCCAAGATGTTCATACAGTTCTTCCGCTAAGATCCCTGTCAGCAATTTCCACAACAGAGGTAAACATGTGATGGGCCTAAAATTTGCTACTGCATTTCCTCTCTCCAATTCTTTCACACAGTAATGTTTCCCCAGTGACCATCCATGATGGCACGTTATTTTCTTGGAGACACCTATCAAGTTGATGTGCTATGCTACCATGCAAATTACTTAAATTCTTTATCCAATACCCCTGAACTCCATCAGGCCCTGGGCTTTTCCAATTTGGCATTTTTCTCACCTGCTTCTTCAATTTCGTCACTTCAATGTGTCTGTCATCCCAAGCCATGTCAACTCTTCCTCCACATTTCTCAGCCATTCCGGATTTTCCTTATGTTTCACTGGTTTGTCCCATATGTCACTCCAAAAGCAAGTACTTTCCTCTGCATCAGGTATCACCGTTTCTCTTTGTACTCTGTCTAATTCCTCATATAATTTCTTTTGATTTGATTCAAACAAGCGATTCTGTCTGTACTGCTCTGTCCTATTGTCATATCTTTCAAGCTTTGCCCCAATTACAACTAACCTCTGTTGTACTTCTTCATGGACCACACCAATACCTTTTTCTACTCTGCGATATTTCCTTTCAAGCTTTGATATGGTACCCTCATTTTGCAACTCATTTCTTTTCATTCTATTGAACTGTCCTAAATTCTTGCGTAGTGCTTTCTGTTTTTCCAAAATTCTTCTCCTCCAGTGTGGTGTCCTGCTTTCCTTTGGATTCATTTTGATTTTGTGCCCCACCATCTCAGCAACAACATTACCAGCTGCCGTAAGACTATGTTTGTTTCCGTTATTGATTCAGTTCTGATAAGAGTTATAACCTTGTTGACCTTCATTGTAGCTGCTTTTACCTTCCTTCTGTCATTGTATCTGAGATTTGGTGGGATTTTGTCTGGATTTTTTCTGATCTCATTCAATACTTTTCTTATCAACTCTTTTTCCTCTTCATCATCCGCTCTTCTGACCACACTATCATCGTCTTCTGGAAACCCTCTGTTCCCTTCTCTCTCTTCCAGGGCCTCTTCTTCCTGCTGTTCACCATTTTGTCGCGTACTACTCTTCCCTGTGCATTCCTGATCAATATCAACTTGAATTTCCATTACATGCTGTCGTTCAATAACATTTCCTTGTGCAGCTTGCTCATTTTCCGTTCCTTCTACATTGTTGGCACTATCACCAGTTTCTTCTTCATGACTGTCTCCACATCTTTCAATTTCTTCAATTTCTATGTCTGTCAGCCACTTGTTCACCCGAATCTGCCCGGCTTGATCTGCCGATCTTTGCTCGGGGACAGGAAATACTCCCATTTCATCCCAGATTTTCTTCATTCGCTGTCGATACTTCCTTTTTGATGGCTCACTTTTTATCCAGCACTCAATTACAATCTTGTTTACTTCCTTTTCCCATTTCATTCTTTGGTTTGTCCGATCCGTTGCTTGATGCCGACCTGCTGGAGCCGGATCGGGAACTCCATGCCTGCCGGGCGCGACACCTTCACCCTGAAGTGTTCCAGTCCCGTTAACGCCGTTATTTTCAATTCCATGGTTTGACATTTCACTCAGTCTGAGGTTGTGTTTTATGGTTTCCACCAACCAGTGTTTTTATCGAGACACCGTCTCTATTATTATTATTATTATTATCATTATTATCATTATTATCATTATTATTATTATTATTATTATTATTATTATTATTATTATTATTATTATTATTATTATTATTATTATTATTATTATTATCATCATCATCATTATTATCATTATCTATTACTTCCCGAAGCCATCCATGACATCAAAAGATTTATTTTTTGGGCGACTGGCTTGCAATTTTTAGGTACCGTAAAGATTTCGAGTTTGAAACGTTTTGTTAAGTAAGACTATTGTCACTAATACTACTCTACTATCACTATTTTCATCATCACGATCATTATCATTACCAACAACATTAATATTATCATCATCTTTATCATCAAAATATTTATCATCTTTA